GGGGGGGGGGGGGGGGAGCAGGGTTGGGAGTGTTTGTGGTATATATATCCTGATGGCAACATGGATCTTGTTGTGAAGAAAGCCAGTGTTTGGTTTGAGGAGGGGGGCGGGGGTTCTATTCAGGAGTGAAAGGGGAACAAAGAGGAGACACACTCCTCCTCAAAGCCCCAATGATGACCTGCAACAGCGGGGTCAGACTACAACAGCCAGAGGGAGACGGGCCCCGAGCGGCAGCGACACGTTGCATGTGACAGAGCGACCGGAGGGCTGATGTATGTGGGAAAATAGTTTATTGGGGGTAATTGCATAATAAGAAACACAAGAACCAGTTAGAAAATGTGATTCGGAATTGATGAAGAGCATTTTCATCCTCCTCTCAATCCAAGTATGTTTGTTTTTCCGTTTCTGCAGGCACCCTCATCTGTGAGGTGGGTAACAGGTAGCTGCGTCCATGAAGGTACAGCGTGTCCCGACAAGACTTGGATCAGACATTATCGGCCTGAGAGCAGCAGAAACCGGGGCTCTGATAAGAATAGGACCAAACAGTGCAGGAGTGGGACCGATTACTTCCGTGTGTGGGGAAAACAAGGTGGCACTTTTTGACACTGCACCCCCCCTTCCCTCCCTTCACCTCAACTTCTCAAGCTACAGCTAATTATTCTCAAAATCTAGGGCTTTATTGCAGCTAAACGACACGCTGGCTTGTCCCTATAAATGCATGCTGATTTAACAAGCTCTTGCTTAAGGCTGTGTCACTTACCATCATCCGGATGGTCTCTGTGTTTTTCATGATATGAATCTTGCGGTATTTGGGACTGTCTAGCTGCCTGTGAAAAAAATAAAATAAAAAAATTAAATGATGGTGAATCAATTAGGAGGGCCTTCAAACGCAGTTACACACACAGACATGCTGATACGGACACCCACAAACACTGCTGGGACAAATGCCGTCCCTTTTGCTTGTCACCAAAGCAGAATAAGCTTGCACAGACAGAAACACACACACACACACACACACACGTATGTATAGAGGGGTGATGGAGCAGTCTGCATCAAAGCTTCAAAAGAAGCACTTAATTAAGCTTCATGTCCTTAAGGAGCTTACAAATTAACTTGTTTTCAATACCATAGGTCCACTCTCATTTTCATCTCTCTGTTTAAGCCTTCTTCTAAATTCAAATAAATTGAGTGTATTTGTGTTTTGAATTAAAAGCCTCTGTGCAAAATGAAATGAAATCTTCCCATAAAAAAGAGGAAATGGTGGAGACATTTTTTAGCTTTTTAAAAAAAAAATCCCCTGCTTTTCCCTCACATCCATTTCCTTTCTCTTTTCGCATCAGAATTGGGAAGAGGACCTCTTTTTTGGAGTTCAGACCCCTCAGGATGGCTTCAAGCTGAGCGAGGGAACTTCACTGGATTCCTAATTAACATTCAGCCTCCGTCTCGTGCGTCTCTAGGACATTTGGTGGTGAATGTGTACAGTCTCGTTTAGGATGTGCCCAAAATTTCATTAACACTGCGGTTAATGACAAAACTTGATGATGGGGAAGCTGCAGCCTGCATCCTGAGGTCAGTGCACGAGGGAAAAAAAAAAATGTTTTACCTGTGATGTTTCATGCCCACTCTGTGTCTCTATGTGTGCTAATGAAATGCTATCTTGCAAGCACGGAATATAATGCAATTTTAGAAACATTAAAAATTCATCAGTGAGAATTCTTCCTATATGTATTTACATACACAATGAATTCAACATTATTATACATTTATACGTTTTAGAATTTCTTCTGATAGACCCCCATCATGCCTTCTTTTAGTCTGATCCAGTAAGGACACGCAAAAAACAAATGTAGCTGTAAATGTGATTAAAATATTTCTCCCCAAAACAATGTAAAAATAATTTACTGGCACGGTTGAATGGACACGACAATAATGAAATATGAGAAGGACATTACAAATAGATAAACAAGCACATCCTGGTAACAAAATAATTGGATACTGTCCCTTTGTTTATGCTGTATTTTATAAGCTGTGACCTTCGAAATAAATTAATCATCTTGTTTTTTGGTTTTTTTAAGCCACGTGTGCTAAACGGATTCATGTGCTGGTGTTTACAGCTGCTGAGGGTTATCATAAACCCCTGCAAACACAGCTATTAGCCTACTTGTCACAGGCAGCACACAAGGCCCCAATTCTTACGTCTAAATATCGTTCTATTATTTTTCCCCCAAAATGTCCCTACAGATTAATTAAATACAGCTGTCACATATGGTCAAGTGTGCATTTTAAGACTATGTTTCCAAAATGAAGATTATCGGGTGATTAAGATGTGTGGAAGAGGGAAAGCTGGTACACCTGGGTCTGCAGACTTTGAATGGCATCACTAAAAGCTATTCATTTTCAAAATAAAAGTGGAGGCTATAAATGCACCTGGACTCAGCTCATTATATATTTTTTGTCTCCATGATAAAAAGGTTTAGCATGTACTGTAAAATATGAGCAAGAGGAAATTCATTTTAGGCCAGTGTTGTCGATTTGCTTTTTATAGCATCTTCTAAAGCTGACAAACAATTCAGACAAACCCACAGCAATTAATGTCAGAGCCACAAAGACTCTGATCTTTTTAAATGACCAAAAAAAAAATACTTTGTTTACAGGCTGTCTCCTCTCCCTGATGGAGTTCAGAGCTGATACCCACCTTCCTCTCCTCATCACTCACCACATCAGTGAACGCACACACACACACTCACACACATTACTCACATCGTGGCTGTTGCTGTTGGGGCTGCTCTCTGACTCGTTGACCAGAGATGACTTGATGTCTGCCAGGTCTCCCTCCTCCTCGGAGTGGCTGAGCTCCGCGAAGATCTGCTCCTTATGCGGGTCTCCTTCGTCTTTGAACGGGATCATTTCGTCCGTGGCGCACAGCTCCGGGTCTCCGCCGCCGCCTGACAACTGTGGCATTTTGTTTATTTATTATTTTTTTTATTTACTTCTATGGGTTTTCTCACCAGGAACACTGAAACAACACACACACGCCAAGCACTGTCCGGAACTACAGAGAGTGGGGTGTGGGGGTTGTGAGGGGGGGTAAAACTCCCACTAAAATCCCCCGAAACAAGAGTTGGGGGGAGAAACGTCCCCTCTTATTTTTAAGTGGAGCGTCGACCGTGAGTCACCGGGAGAGGAAGCGGCGTGCAAACACGCTGCCGTGCCGGTGTGTCTTTACTGAAGCAACAGGAGCACCGTGGCTGCCGTCGGCGTCCCTTTTTCTGTTCTTTGCTTTTCTTTTTTCGTTTAAACCACGAGTGTTTCAACTAAAAAGGACTCAAAAGTCAGACCCGTAAAAGTTGAGATGTGAAGGCTCAGAGCGAGAGTCCGGTGTACGCCTCAATGTCATGAGGATACAAGAAAAACACACAAATAAAACAAATAAACAAAAAAAAAAAAAAAGAGGAGACAAACCAAACGAGTTAAAATCTCATCACTAGTTTTTTTAAGTGAACATACACAACCGACGACGGGTACGGTCCAGTACAAAAAAAGAAAAGAAAATAACTCAACGTTAAAAAGTGCATTTATAAAAAAAAAAAAAAAAA